ACGAAGCGGCAGATTTTGCGTGCAGGAAATTTCATGTATTCATGTATGGCTTGCCGTTCAAAATAGTCACCGATCACAAACCGCTCGAAGTCATCCTGAACAACCCTAGGCATCAGACGTCAATACGGCTGCAAAGAATGATGGTACGAATGCTCGATTATGAGTTCAAGGTCGAATATAGGCCCGGAAAGACGAATATCTCCGATTATACATCTAGGCACCCGCTGCCTCGTGAAACCTGCACTAGAAGGGAACTAGGCACTACCAAGGATGTCAAGCAGTACGTGAATTTCGTGGTCGCAAGTGACATTCCCCGGGCTATCAGCAAAGAGGACCTGGTAAAGGCAACGGAAAACGACGAGGAACTAAAAAGGTTAATCACCTGTATACGGGAGAGGAAGATCGACCACAGGAACCAAGACATGAAAGCGTACTTCAATATTTACGATGAATTGGCTGTGGCTGACGGTCTTGTCCTTCGGGGTGAAAGAATCATAGTCCCTCGAGAATTCAGAGAAACTATGGTGAAAATTGCTCATGAGGGTCACCAGGGCATCGTTCGTACGAAACAACTGCTTCGTGCCCACGTTTGGTTTCCCGGAATCGATAAGATGGTCGAAAAGCACGTTGGGAATTGCCTAGCTTGTCAAGCTACCATCCCTTGCCACACCAGAGAGCCACTCCAAATGTCGGAGCTACCAACAGGTCCGTGGAAGAAGATCAGTGTGGATTTTGCGGGACCTTTTCCAAATAAGGACATGGCTTTAGTGTTCTGGGACCAGTATTCAAGGTATCCTGTCGTAGAATTTGTCACAAGTACCTCCGCAGAGGCTGTAATTCCCCAGCTCACACGTGTTTTCACTACTTATGGAATTCCAGAAGAGGTGAAGACAGATAACGGCCCCCCATTTAATGGGTCCAAATTTGCAAAATATGCCCAAGAACAAGGGTTCAGGCACAGGAAAGTCACACCCGGATGGGCGGAGGCAAATGGTGACGTCGAACGAGTCATCCAGACGGTCAAAAAGAGCGCGAGGGTTGCCAAGATTAAGGGGAAAGCATTTAAACAAGAGATCCAAAGGACGGTTGGCAACTATCGTGCCACACCCCATCCTGTGACGAGACAGAGTCCCGACAAGCTTAAGTTCGGGAGAGAGATAAGAAGAAAACTGCCAGAAAGGGTCGTTCCCCAGGAAGAACAACGCCATGAACTAATCCGTGAAAGAGACCAGAGAAAGAAGAAGCAAATGAAAGCTTATGCTGATGAGCGCAGACGCATATCACAAAGCTCGATCAAAATTGGTGACTGTGTCCTTTTGAAACAGAATAGGGGTAACACGTTGACCCCACCCTATGATCCACGACCATATGCAGTCGTTGGAATAAAAGGGAGCATGATCACTGTGAAGAGAGGAAAGGAAGTCAAATCCCGCAATTCTTCCCACTGTAAGGTACTCAAGTATGCTGGAAAGGAGGAGCACGACTATTTGGATTGGGACAAAGAACAAGGGAGGAGGTGTAGTGTCCAGGCCTCCAAGTTCTCCAAGTTCACGCCCAAGGCCCCAGGAGACATTTACTCGAGTATTTATTATGCACGGTAAAGTGAGAACGGAGGTGATACAATCTAGGATAACAAACAACTAAAGGAGCTGTAAGCGAACTGTATAAGCGACCTCCAGAACGTTACAGTTGCATTCTATAAACTGAAAACAGTGCATGTATTTGTTTGTTAACTGTATTTTCTTGTTTCACTTTGTAGGTCCGACAGCTACCTTGGCAGCTATGTGTCCAGAAAAGCAGCTCTTTTAGAGCTCCTCACAAAAAAAGGCTCCTTTAGGAGCCACCAAATCTAATAAAAGTCATGACCAACAAGACTCAATAAAGAACTCAATGGTATTGAAACAAATTCCCTGGAGCTTCATAAATATCTAAGCTCATAACATGCTTTGAGCCAAAACAGGCCTGCGTGACAAAAAGAACAAACTCGGCCTATGATTACAGAATTGTTGCAAGAGAATCTTCTTTAACTTTAATTTTCCCAGGGAACTTTATACGGCCATACCTTTAAACATGAAAAGTAGACAACTTTTTATGAAAATAAAAAATCAATAATAAACGTACCTTTCTCAAAATTCAAAGCTTCAAATTTAATAGCCTTCACTGTACAAGCAGAGAAGCCGCCATTTTCTTGAAAGCGTACTCAGACTAAATGTTGAACTATCGCTTACCAAAGACTATAGCTGTTCACGAGAAGTCAATAATAATTCATACGCGTGTACTCAAAGATTTACTAACCAAAGCAGAAAGAAATGTGAGCACCTGGGCCGGAACCAATTCGAACAGTAAGATGGATAACTTTAAATAGTTGCGCCGTATTTTTGTTGTAATAACTCGGATCAAATTATTTTTAACGTTTGCCAATCTTTCAAATTTTAGCTGACATTCAATGATGCCCAGATCGCTGACTTTCTCGAGGAGCTAGGGTCGTACCTAGAGGGTCATCTCGCCCAATTAGATGTTGTAAGTATACGTTATTTATATAGTAAGGGCTATGGATTTAAAGATAGTCATATAATAGGTAATAGGTAATGTATACATGTATTATATCGCGATGTTTGTTCAGGAAAAATGAATAACTTTGCCAAGAATTGTCGCGAAATATTCTCAGCTTTCACGTCACGCAAGTATCACGCAAGTATCACGCAAGTATCACGCAAGTAAAAAATAAAATCACCGGCCACCCATGGAGCATTTTGCAACTTACTCGAAAAACTTGTCAATCAAAATACCAATGTTGCGGTCGACGTGTGCACAGCTGCCTAACAGACAGACAAGACTTAGAAAAATCAGTATATGTATATATATATATTTTAAAAAAAATACAGGCCTACTATTACACTACCAAAGCCATGTAGACAATCGCTACAAACGGAGCTTGCTGAAAACTATGCTGGATCGCGCACACCGATTATCTTCCTCCTGGGCCCATTTCTCTGATGAGTGTGATCGCCTAAAGAAAGTTTTCGCACGGCTTAAATACCCGGAACGCCTGGTAAATTCTACCATTAACACCTTCTTACAATCAAAAATTGTTGGTACGCAGCCCACACAGACGCCCAAAGAACCAATATCCATTGTTCGTGTGGTCATACCTTTCAAAGATCAGGAATCAGCAAATTATGTTAAGAAAGAGCTCAAGAATCTTAGCATGAAGGTGCAGACAACTGTCCAGCCAGTATTTGTTAGCCGCAAAGTTGGCCAAGATCTTAAAGTACGAGAAATCAAGCCACAGATTGTCAACCAACAACGCGTCGTTTATCAATTTCAATGTGACCTGTGTGATGCGGGTTATGTGGGCTATACACGCGGACACTTACACGCATGGATGGACATAAACGCAAGGCATCTTCAATATATAAACACTACCATGAACGGCACAGCGAAGTCCCGAAAGACCTACTGAAACGTTTTAGCATTCTGAAAAAGTGTAGTAACAAGTTCGATTGTTTGGTGAACGAAATGCTTTTCATCAGAGACTTAAAACCCACTCTGAACGTGCAAAGCGATTAAATTCGCGCAAAAGTATTTGTTTAATTAGCTCGTAACATATTTATGCTAATTTAGTGTTACACCTTGCCACAAACTTCATTTTTTATTTCTCCTTGACAATGGCGTCATGATGACACCGAAACATCGGTTTTTATCGTTAGGTTTTGCTAGTCTTTGCATTTCTAAATCTTTATTGATAAAAAAAAAAGCATTTTATTATTTGCACTCATTTTCAGGAGAGGTCACCGGCAGATTACCTTGTTCGTTGGTAAGTTGTGATTTCTGGTGTTTTTAAAGCTGAAGTTTGCGAAGCTTAGTGCTTCTTTTAAGTTCAATGTTGATTTACAGGGATCGGATGGTGGTGCTTGCAGCCAGATTCTTAAGTGATCAGCCCACAATACGGGATTTGCTGGAAAATGGTAAAATTATTTTCTTTTTAAGCTCAGCGAAAATAAGTCTTTAAAACACAAAATCTCTCATAATTTTGTGGCAACAATGTTTTACATCGACATGCTGGATTTTTTTAAATAAAAGACATACTTGTCTAATAATAAAATCACGAATTTACTGGTCTTTACTTCCGTAGGTTCGCAGACCCTGAGCGCCACTCCAGGCGAAAAAAAAAACAAAAAAAAAAAGACGGAAGAGTGGAAAGAGAAACAAGCCCACAACAAACTAATTTAATTTGGGGGAGTGTAAATTGTAATTTTGAGATTAAAAGCGTATAAGGTGAAGCTATATTTGTTATAGTTGGTCAGTGACTTTTATTTTATTTGGTGGCACCTAAGGAGCCATGTATATGCTCTAATGCGCTTTACAGCACTGTGCGGGGGACTTTTCCAGACTACCGGCAGCAGTTTACAATTACTAAAGAAATTTTACAGATGCCCCCTTCCCCCACTCCCAGTAACCAGGCCAGACCACATCACAGTAATCTCGTGGTGTGGGTTCTTTAATATCCCCTGCCGAAATTAACTAATTGATAGGTGCAGGAGACAGGACCTCAGGCTATACGTCCTATCCGAGAAGACAAAGCAATGCGAGTGAAGCGTCTTGCTTAAGGACACAATGTCAAGCCCCAGCCAGGACTTGAACCCGGGCCATCTGACCCAGAGTCCAGCTGTTGTAAGCATTAATTTTTCTGACTCCGGCAAAGCGTGCAGTATAAAAGTTCTTACGAAAAGAAAATTTCTGTCTTACAAAAATCTCCACCTTTAACTTGAAAATAAAACTAAAGTTTACACGGAAAGGTGCGAAGTTGGCACAATTTGTTGTTCCATTGTTTCCAAAGTGAAGTCTTGTAATTTAAATAGAAAAGCAACGATGCATAATTATACTGTTTTGTTTATGAATAGACGCATGGTCCTAATTACAATTTGGTAAAAACTTTGATAAGATGTTGTTAGCCTTTTGTCAGTTAACTGGCCAAATGAAAAATGAAAAGTTATTGACTTTATGTGAAGGTGTAGTCTGATCGTCCGGGTGAGTGTAGTCCTGAGAAGGACTGTTGTCGGTGGCAGTGACTGACGTTTCGACAACCTGTGCGGAAGTCATCATCAGAGTCAAGTGAGTGATTGTTGTCAGTAGAATGTTCTTATTCCAGTTCGTGTGAAATGATCAGTTGGTTTTGCCGTGATGTTATTGGCTGTGAGACTCAAGTGACGTAAGTCGTTCGTGATTGGTCTGTTTCGGTCTATTGGTCTGTTTCGGTCGGTAAAGCTAGGTAACCTAGCTTTACCGACAGACCGAAACAGACCAATCACGAACGACTTACGTCACTTGAGTCTCACAGCCAATAACATCACGGCAAAACCAACCGATCATTTCACACGAACTGGAATAAGAACATTCTACTGACAACAATCACTCACTTGACTCTGATGATGACTTCCGCACAGGTTGTCGAAACGTCAGTCACTGCCACCGACAACAGTCCTTCTCAGGACTACACTCACCCGGACGATCAGACTACACCTTCACATGTTACCCCCGGGTTCAAACCATTTACTGTATTGACTTTATCTGCACTAGTATGTAAAATGTTATCTCTTATACATGTATTGTGGGCAAATCAAGACAAAAATTTGAAAGGAGTTTCAAATGATAGAAATTTTTGCTTTTTATGTGGCAATTCATCCAAGTTAAATGAAAAATTGACTTTCACTCTGTTGGTAAGGAAAATGTTATTTCATATATACACTACGCGCCTGGGCAGGACGCATTTGGGTCTGGGCGAAACGCGTTTGGGTCTGGGCAAAATGCTTTATGGGCGAAATCAAACCCACGGCTTCCTCACATTCATGGCAGGAAATAATTCTTTACTAAGTGCCTGCAAAAGAGTAAGGTGGAAGAACGGAGTAACACACAATCTATTGCAAGTTGGTCATTTCTTTCTCGTATTGTGATGCCTCCTAAAGGAGCTGTTTTTTTTACGGGACCTACTTAACGGTAAGTCACCGAACTGTTGTCTACTTATTGACAACTCTGGGTTTTGCCTAAGTTACCCTTGTACGCTCCTTGGGCTCCTTCTGGGCTTCTTTATTCCGCTCTCGGTAGAATGAGACCTTCTCAGTAGAGTTGACCGGTGAACAATCCTCCACACCGCATCTTTACAAGCGACGGGTGCACCATTTCCGCCCTGACAATGAAAACACCTGGAATGATCATAAAATACTTTCCTTCGCTCTAATAGAGCTAACTCAACAGGCTTGCCGGGTTGCAACCGACAAGCAGTTGAAGTTTTGAAAGTATTTAATGACCATCCAGCAGGCATTATCGTGTCAAGCTCATGAACGGGCACTGAAAATTTAGTCGCTCGCAAAAGATTTGGCGCTGAAGGTAGCTCACTGAACAAACTCTCTGAAAGTCTCAGGATCCATCAGCATAGTTGCAGAGACACGTCTGATGATGCTTGTTGACGGTGGTTTCTTCATCTTCAACTTTTCGGCGATGAGAATGCTCAAGGTCTGCAGCAAGCCAGGGTTACCTTGGTGTCGAGTGCAAAACACTTGCTTCAGGTACTCATTCGTGTCCTACGCGTCTACCCAAGAGTCGTACTTTCTCCCATAACCGTGCCAGCGAGCAAGAAACTGAACACGATTATGGGCATCTGTGCACTTGTCAAGTACTTTGGAGACTTCATAAAACTTACTCATAGTGTTAGCGTTATGCTAAAGTGTAGAAAGCAATTTCTGACTCCGGATAAGGTTTGCGAGCCATTTGATGCTATTGTTTAACTTTAGAAGAATACCCTTAATTAGTCTGCCTGCTTGTCGCCTCCCTTTATTTATAAAGGTTGCTTGAG